CAGTAGCAGAAGCAGCAGTAGTTGGAGGCGCTCCCGCTCTCTGTTGTAGCATTTGCGCCTGCAGCGGCAGCGGCTGCTGCTGCTGCTGCTGCTGCTGCTGAGATTGCAAGGGACGCAACTCATAGCTCAACGGCAGGCCCATAGAAAAATGAGCATCCCGTGCTGCTGCAGACGGGGTTGAAGGTGCAGCAGCAGCAGCAGCAGCAGCTGCTGCTGCTGCTGCTGATGCGGCAGTTGCTGCAGGGGCGGTCCCCCCAGCAGCAGGCAAAGCCTGATCCGCTGGCTTGTCCTCCATTCTTGATAAATAGTTGTTGTTGTTGTTGTTGCTGCTGCTGCTGCTTCCGCTGCTGCTGCTGCTTCCGCTGCTGCTGCTGCTGCGCAGCCGCAAGTGACCCTGTGAGCCGCACTGCGCGCACAGCCTTTACTGGCGTTTCTATTTTTCCTTTTTTGTTTAATTTTGAAAGAAACTAGTCAATTACTTCGGGAAAAGAAGATATTCAATCGAAAGAGTGTCTCAAACGCCGCAGACAGCAGCGCCGCCAGCAGCACGCGGACCACTGGTCACCAGAGTCTGCTTCGGGGCTGGAATGTTTGCTCTTTTTGCTGCAGTAATTAATTTAAAATAACAATAATCATTAATTAATTGATTAATTAATTAATTAAATGTAATTAATGAACTCAAGTGAGCTTATTGGCAAAAGAGCAGCAAAGAAGGAGACTCCTGGACCTGCCTATACACCCCGCGGGCCCGCCCCGCCCAGCTTTCCGCCCAAAGGCTCATTTCGACTTTTTGTTGAAATATTTTTAATTTAAATATTTTAAAATAAAATTAAATTAAAAATTTAGTTTTATATTAATATTTTAGTTGAATTAGAGCAGTTTTATGTGCTGCACGCACAGGAGTCAGCGGTGTGCACTTGCAGCTTTTCTGCTTTTGCGTGGTGATGAAGAATTTGCTGCTGCAGCAGACTAAGAGGTTAAGCAGCAGCAGCAATAAGAGCCGTCACTGCGGCAGCAGCAGCACCCGAGCTGCAGCTTCTGCAGCAGCAGCAGCAATAGGAGCTTCAAGAGTACCTGCAGCAACAGCAGCTGCAGCAGCAGCTGCAGTAGCAGCTGCAGCATCCATATACTGCTGCTCCTACTGCTACTACAATTACTCCTGCAGCTGCTGCTACTAGCACTACTACTTCTGCTGCTGCTGCTGCTGCTGCTTCTGGAGCTGCCAGGTGTAAAGATAGAACGAACAAAAGTAAAATGGCATTGAATTAAAATGCCACTTTCGAACTTGGAGAGAGAAAAGCAGTTAGCAGATAATAAAAGAATAAAAAGGAAATTAAAAATGAATTAATTCAAACAAAGCACTATTAAAAAGAAACAAAAAAGCACATTAACAGTGTCTTCTCTCTGTCTCCTTTTTTATTTTAACTTCTCCACTTCGAACAAGAAGCCATCAAATGCATTTTTAAATTTTGTTTATGTCTTAGAGAAAAAAAGGAAAAAACAAAAGCATGCAAAAAGTATCTTTTATTCGGCATATTATTTAAAGTGACATTTGGGTTATTTCATTTCTTAAAATGTTTTGTTATTTCATTCATTTCCTGGCTGAGGTGGACATACATCGGAAAACCAAAAAGGCAAAAAATCCGAAAAGCTGAAGTGCGCTGAGGTGTACGTACACCCGAGTTGCGCGTGCATTTTTGCGGGTTTTGTGGTGTATGTACACCTCCGAATAAACACCAAAGTGTTGCAAATTAGAGTTCAAATGCTGCACTATTTTATGCTTTAGAGAGTCTCTAAAAGGATACTTGAAACGATCAATTAAATCAATTAAACCTTTTTTGCATGCTACATGCACTGCGGTTTGTTTGTTGGCCACAAAGCCCCAAAAGCCGCGGCAAAGAAAGCGCATTTCTCGCAGCTTTTAATGGAAATAAAAAACAATAAATAATAAAAAACAATAGAGAATAAAAAGACAAAAGAAAGGACTAAAAGTCCTGTGGAACTCGCTCAGCAATCGCCATTTCCATTTTGGGCATTTTGCAAGAATTACACTTCACTTTCAAGTGTCTGTACACCCGAAGCAAGGTGTCTACTCTGTAATTGGCGAAGAGGAATATTTAAATTCAAATATTTTCTTCTTTTGATTATAAGAGACAACATAGAAAATAAAATATATTTAAAATGTTTGGATCAGGGCCTAAAATGCCCTTTTGCAAAAGGGCCGGTGTAATTTCAAGAAAAGTCCAAAGGCACTTCAGCGGGGTCCAGCGGTGGTTTTTGCTCTTCTTTTCGCTTTTTTCGAAATATTTAAATTAATTGATTTAATTAATTAAAAATTTATAAATTTAATCAAATAAAAATAATTAATTCGGCTTTTTCGAGCCACTTGCTCGATTTTTCCTCTTCTGTGTCCTGCTGCCGCCACGAGGCTGCGGGGCCCCACAGTAGCTAGCTCGTGTTGGGGTCGTTTTTCTCTGTTTGAAAAGCATTAAATGAAATCAAATAAATACAAATAAATAAATTTGAATTCAATTTAATTAATTTCTCCGTTCTGCGCGCGCAGATACACCGGGAGCCTCTGCGCCGACTCCGGCGTGGAGGTGTATGTACACCTGGGAGGTGTATGTACACCTGGCGAGCTGTACGTACACCTGGGGGCCTCCGCTCCACCCCAAAGCCATTTCAACTCCAAATTTTTCCGTTTTTCTTCCAAAAGCATGCAGGGCATCTCAAGTCTTCTCCCGCTACCCTCTGGGGCTGAGCCTGGCCTCTGTTTGGCGCTAAGTCCCCCGCTGTGGGGGCGCCCCTGCGTTGTTGCCCGTGAGGGTCACCTGGGGGGCCCCTCAGGGGGCCCCCCAGAGGCTCGTGGGGCCCCGGGGGGCCCCCGGGTCCCCTGCAAAGCCTGCGGGGAACCCCCCTGCATCTGCGAAGTGCAGCAGCAGCTGCTGCAGGCCCTTGCTGCTGCAGCAGCAACAGGAAAGCTGCATGCACTACTGCTGGAAATGCCTTTTTACGAACAGTTTGGCCCCAAGGGCTTCAAGGTGCGCTAATGGGGCTTTGGGGCTGCATGCGAATGCATGCGTGCGTGCATGCATACATACATGCAGGTATAAATGCATGCATGAGGTGTCTGTACACCCGAGAGAGCGTGGAGTGTACAGGCAGGTGGCAGCGGGTCTGGGGTGTACAGGCAGCAAAGTGGGTTCTGTGGAAGCTGGTGACTTAATTTTTTTTAGTTTTCGAATTAAATTATTTTTAAATTAATTTAATTGTTTGAATTTAATTAGTTTTCTTTTCTTTCTGCCCCAGTTGCTAGAAAACATCGCCCAAGCTGCCCACCCGCTGCCCCTCGTCCTCGACGCCAAAAGGGGGGATATTTCAAACACAGCAAAGGCTTATGCCCAGGCCCTTTTTGGCGTTTTGGGGGTAAATAAAAAGCAAATAAATAATTAATTCATTATTTAGTTTATTTGTTTTGGTTATTTAATTTAATATTTTAATTAATTAATTAGTTAATTAATTAATTATTTAATTATTTAATTATTTAATTAATTAATTAAATACAACTAACCAGGTTATCATTTAATTCATCATTTAATTCATCATTCAATTCATCGGTTGGTCATAAAAATGTGAATTTTAGATAAAGAAATAATTTTAATTTCTTTTCACTTCTTTCTTTCCTTAAAACTTCCTTAATTTAATGCATTTCAATGGACCATCTCCTGTCATTTTATTTGTTCTACTTTATTTTATTTTATTTATTTTATTAAATTTTTTTTTAGGCTGCTGCTGCTACTGTGAGCTGCTACATGGGAAGAGACTCAATAATTCCTTTTCTGTCTTTCAACAAAAATGTTTTCGTTTTCGTCGAGTGTCTTCCTGCTGCTGCTGCAGCAGCAGCAGGACTTGCTGCTCTCAAGGGCTTTAAGCCCCCTGCTGCTGCTGCTGCTGTTCCTGCTGCTGCTGCTACTGCTCCTGTGGCCGCGGCTGCTGAGACGGGTCAAGGAGCAGCAGCAGCTGCTGCGAAAACAGAAGCAGCAGCAGCAGCAGCAGCAGCAGCAGCAGCTCCAGAAGAAGCAGCAGCAGCAGATCCCACAGCAGCAGCAGCAGCAGCAGCAGCAGCAGCAACGCCTGTGGCTATGTATGAACATGTCGCTGAGCTTTGCAGCGAACTGTCGGCAGCAGAAGGTAGGACGGCAAAAATACATTTATTTAATTAAATTTAATTTAATTCAATTTAATTCAATTTAATTCAATTTAATTCAATTTATGAAAACTGAAAATTAAAAAGAATTAAAACAAAGAGAAATAACAGTAACTTAAAAGAATGAAAGCGAATTAAACCGCCACAAATGCAGAAGGCACTTAAAAAAAACAAAATAAAAAATAAAACAGAACACAATGAAATAAAATAAAACCAAATAAATAAAGCCAAATAGAGAAAAAAACATAAAATGAACATGAAATAAAATAAAATAATGAGACGCAATAGAACAAAACGAAATGAAATAAATCGGGCAAAATAAGTTAAATAAATAAATAAAATTAAATTAAAAAATAGATAAAACCAAATAAAATAAAATAAAACAAATAAGCAAGGTTTGCGCTGCAGGAGAAAAAGGGCAAATTGGAATATCTCTTTCAATTGAAAACAAAAGAGAACTTTTTGTATTCTTGAATTTTCAAAAAAAATTTAAAAATCTTTTTTTTCTAATTCATTTTAATTCCAATTTGCAACTTCTTCAAGAAATCAAGGACCCCACAGGTAAATTTATTTTTTATTTGTATTATTATTCGTTTATTTATTGTTTATTCTTTACACTTTTAAGTTTTCTTTTTATTTGTTTCAGTTTCTTTTGAATGTCTTCTTCGATTCTCTTCAAAACTGTTTTTAATTCATTTTATTTTCTTTTTCAATTATCTTTCAAATTATGTTTTTTAATTATCTTTCTATAATTATATTTTGTATTTATTTATTTATTTCTGTTTACAATCATCATTTCATAATTATCTTTGGAGGCTTTTTTATTATTTAATTTCCAATTTTTTCCTTTTCGAAGTTTTTTAAAAGTGTCTTTTTGATTTATTCTTGGAATGATTCAAAACAAAACAAAAGGGAATTGAAACAATTAAAAATAATTAAAAAAACTAATTTAAAAATGAAAAGAATTAAAAATAAAAAGAGTTTAAAAGAAGAAAAAATAAAAATTTGTTTTTGTTCTGTTGCAGTTTTTCAAAGAGTCCTTATCAGCGTCAAGCCCGCGCGTCTGAGCGTAAGTGAATTTTCTTTATTTTTATTTTATTTTTATTTTTGGAATTAAGAGAATATTCTTTTTGCAATTAAAGTCTTTTCTTGTTCAAATGGTATTCTCCTGGCCTTTCAAATGATGTTCCTTTTGCTTTTCAAAAATCACAAAAGAACTAATTAAAAGCTAAAGCTCTTCAGCAGCAGCAGCAGCAGTAGCAGCAACAGCAGCAGCAGCAAGTCCGTACTTTTGATTGTCCCCTTTCTAACTTTCTTCTTTGAATTGTCTCCTCTTAATTGTCTTTTTTATTCCTCTTTTATTATCCCATTTAAAACATTTTTTTATTTTTCTATTTTTGATTTTTATTTTCTATTTTTAATTTCTATTTTCACTTTTCTATTTTTATTTTTCTACTTTTAAAATGATTGTCGTTGGGCGTTTGGAAAGAAAAAGAGAAAAGAGCCAGTTTGATTTGTTCTTTCTTATTTTATTTTATTTATTTATGTTTATTTATTTATTTATTTTTATTTATTTATTTTAATTCATTTATTTGTTTTTATTATTTAATTTTATTTTTTATTTCGCAGGAGGCTCGAAAATGTGTAGAAGAGAGTTTCGCCCAACTGGCTCAAGTCTGCCCCCGCCTAAACCCTAAACCCTAAACCCTAGGTCCCCGTTTGAGGGTTTAGGGCTTAGGGTTTGGGCTGGCGAAGCCGCGGCTTTTGCCGAGCCTAAACCCTAAACCCTAGGCCACTCTCCGCACCTCGGGCTCCGCGCCCAGAGCCTAAGGTTTACTAGGGTTTAGGGTTTAGGGTTTAGGGTTTGAGCCCTCGTTGTCGTTTTCTTGTCTCCTTGCGAGCCTTTGGACTTCAAATAGTTCGGCGAGAGCTTTTGAGGGTTTATCTGAACAAAATAAAAATAAATAAAATAAAATAAAGTAAAATAAATAAATGAGATAAATAAAATAAAATAAAATAAACAAACAAATAAATAAATAAATAGAAGGAAATTAAATCGAAAATGAAAAGAATTCATAATAGGGAAACAAAGAAAATGGCGTTTTTAATTTTTCGATTTTTTTGAACTTTTTTTGATTTATTGAAATCAAATAAATTTCAATTCTTTTATTTCTTCCATTTTATTTCTTTAGGGTTTGGGACACAAACCCTAAACCCTAAACCCTAGTCCAACAGAGCAGTTATAATAATAGTTTTCCTTGTTTATTTGTTTTTATTGTATTTTTCTCTCTTATATTATTATTATTATCATTATTCTTTTATTATAATTTTATTATTATTATTATTATTATTATTATTATTATTATTATTATTATTGTCTTACAGACATAGGCAGCAGCAGCAGCCGTTGCTGCTGTTGCTGCAGCAGCAGCAGCAACGTAGGCGTTGAATTCCTTGATTTGCTGCTGATTATATTTTCCTTGTTTTTGCCACTCAGCGCCAATTGTGGAAAGAATAAAAATAAAAAGAAGATAGAAAAGGCTCTGCAGCAGCAGCCAAGCAGCAGCAGCAGCAAGCAGCAGCGCAGACTGCTGCAGCAGCAGCGCCTCCCGCTGCAGCAAACCCCAAGCAGCAGCAGCAAAAGCCCCCAGCAGCAGCGTCAAGTCGATTAAAGAGACAGCTAAAAGAAAGCCCCGATTGTCTCTTCCCCGTTTGCTGCTGAGGGCGCTGAGCTGCGCTGCTGCAACTGCTGCCAGCAGCAGCAGCAGCAGCAGCCACTGCAGCAGCAGCCGCCGCTGCTGCTGCTGCGCCTTCGCAGCAGCAGCAGCAGCAGCAACTTCCCGACGACGTGCTGCTGCAGCACGAGGACTTGCTGCTGCTTCCTCCTCCAGCTGCTTCAGCCAAATCCGCTGCTCCCCAGATTCGGGGCTTCCCTCTGCGGGTTCCATAATGAAAGACATCTCCAAACCCTAAACCCTAAACCCTAAACCCTCGCGGCTGCGGCGCGGTGTGCAGGGGCTCCCGCCGCTCGCTGCGGGCTACAGAAACCCCAATTTAGGGTTTAAAAAGTGTAAATGAAATGGCAACTGCAAGGGGATTTAATTTGAAGTTCAAAAGAAAGAAAACTTGCGAAAGAAGCTGCGGGCTTTGCTGCTGCGGCCTGCGGGCTAGCTGGGGTCCGGGGCGGCGCGGGCTGCGGGCGAGTTCACTTGGCCGAAAAAATAAATTAAATGGATTTAATTAATCATAATTTGTTTTCAATTTGCAAAACTAAACAAACAGAGACACAAGCCTGCAGCAAACGCAGGAGCAGCAGCAGCAGCAGCAGCAGCAGCAGCACACTCGATTCATGGCCAGAGCGCCGCCGCGGCCACGGGCTGGCAAGCCACTTATTTTTTGGCTTTTCTCTGTCAATTTTTTAATTTAAAAAACATTTTAAAACTTCCATTTTTCAATTTAATTCAATTTAAACTCCTTTTTTCCTTTTTAACTCACGGTTTAGCCGGCGAACTGCAGCGCCGACTCGAGGTCACCGCGAGCGCCGCGCAGCCGTAGCCAACTTGTCGGCAGCAGCAGCAGCAGCAGCAGGAGCTCGTAAACCCCATTTAAAGCCACAAAAAAAAGAAAGATAAAAATATTAATTGTTTGCTTTTCAAAAAATAACATTTAATCTTTTTAATTCGCCGTTTTCCGACTGGTTTAGCTGCGCGCAGCCTTCTGCGTCGGGTGTACAGACAGCTCACGGCGCCACCGCCAAGACACCTGACCACTCAGCAGCAAATCATTTAATTAAAACCTCATTATTTATTTATTCTTTTAGTCCATTTTTCTTTTTAAAAAGGAAGCGCTGGCGAGGCTTGCTGCCTCGCGCTACTTTTTCCTTTTTAACCGCGCTGTTCTCTATGTTGCAGCAGCAGCAGGAGCAGCAGCAGCAGCTGCAGCAGCAGCGCTTAAAGCAACACAGAAAAGATAAAAGCAGCAGCAGCAGAAGCAACAGCAGCAGCAGCAGGGCTGCTGCTTCTTTATCGCGAACAAATGCAGAAAGAGCTCCTTTGTCCTTTCCTTTCGCTTTGTTAATTTCAGCTTTTTAGTGCTGCAGAGGCAGCAACAGCAGCAACAGCAGCAGCAGGAGCAGCAGCGGCAGCAGCAGCAGCAGGAGCAGCAGCAGGCTTGAAGGAGCATGTGCAGGCTAGAGCCACAGGCAGAAACAAACAAAATTAAAAATAATAAAGAAACTCTTCTTCTATCAAAAAATAAAATCAAATTCGAAAAACGAGAAAAGGAAAAACAAATAAAGACGGTTGAGGCCGCCTCTGCTGCGCTCACGAAGCAGCAGCAGCGGCAGCAGCAGCAACAGCAGCAGCCGCTGGAAGGACAGGAGCAGCGGCTGCAGCTGGAGCAGCCAGAGCAGCAGCTCGAGCAGCGGCAGCAGCTGCAGTCCGAGCAGGTGCAGCAGCAAGAACTGCCGCTGCTGCTGCAGCAACAGAAGGAAGAACAGGATGAGCTGCTGCTGCTTCAGCAGCACGAGGAAGAGGAGCAGCAGCTGCTGCGGGAGCCGCAGCTGCTCAGGCTGCTGCAGCAGGGGCAGCAGCAGCATCCTCCATGCAGCGGTAGCAGCAGCAGCAACAGCAGCAAAGATTCTAAGGAAGCAGCAGCAGCAGCTGCTGCTGCCGAAGCAGCAGGAGAGAAAGAGGGTATTTTGGAGTTGTGCGTCAAGTCTATTTTATTTTTAAAGGAATAAAAAAATTAAAAATAATTAAAATTAATTTATTTTTTATTTTAATTATTTGTTATTTTGCTTTTTTATTTTTTATTAACTGCAGGCCCTCTGTCTGCTCGCTGCTGGCTCACAGCCCTTTCTCAAGGATATCTGCTGCTGCTGCTGCTGCTGCTGCTACTCCGGACCTCTGCAGCAAATGCGCTGCTGCTGCTG